TGGGGGTTTTTTGTGTGTGTGTGTGGGGGGGGGGGCATTTACATAGGTCCAACAGAGTTCTGAGGAAACTACAATACTATCACTTGCCGTCTGGTGTCATTTTCTAAATAGACGCAACACTTGGCTGCAACCAGCACTGGTGCTGTTGATTCAAAAATAATGTTTGAAGATAACAATAACATGCATCAATTATTTGGGACAATTTCATGTCACTTCCCCAAAATAAAAAGCTATGTACAGCGCAGACCGTTGGATCTGGTGTGGAACTGCCTTTCCTACCTCGGCCCAATAAGAGACTAAACCATGAAATGTATGCTCTTGCTACTCACTCCTGATGGAGCAAGAAGGAGAAGGAGATCTGCTCTCAGCTGGGTACAAATCCCATTTTGAAAGTGTGGTTTGTCCTGTTCTGGTGTCTGAGCTAAAGAGTCCATTTCTGGTTGGACTGCAAACTGCCACCTGCTCTCCACTTCATCTCTCTTCAACCTCCAGCCTCTTGGCCCCCCAGCAGCATCCAGCTACTACTTTGTAGATGGAGAAAAGGAGGCTGGTGTCCAAATCAAAATGTGCATTTCCTGATGACCGCCACCTGTTCAACTCAATGGCAGCACGTGCCATGCTCACCGCCTGAGTGAAGGATGGACCCGCCGCTGAGACATGGTGGTGCATTGTCACGCTCACATTATTATTCCTTAGTAGCACTCCAGCTACGGCGCCCCAGCCACAAAGTTCCACTTACACATTTTGGCATGTTCTCACGCTTCTTCCCTAAAGATGACTTTAATCACCGAGCAAGCATCAAACCATCACTTGGGGGGGGGGGGGGGGGCTTGATTGTGACTAAGTCAAGCATCACTTGAAAAGACAAGCGTATTTATGAGTATGTAAATGTTTTTTACTTAATTATTTAAACAGATTCCAATGTTATTAATCATGCTTTGAATCTCATAATAGGCATCAATTTACTTTTTTCAAGAATATCCAACCTATGATGTATTTATGAATATTTGTGGTTGGTGTTTTTCCATCCATATTTAAACAGATTCCAATGTTTATTAATCGTGCTTTCAATCCCATAATAAGCATCAATTTACTTTTTTCAAGAATATTTAACTTATGATGTATTGACGAATATTTGTGGTTGGTGTTTTTCCATCCATATTTCCCCAAGGTAATTTCCCAATCCCCATTCTAGCAGTCCTGCCAATACTTTATCATGAAAATGAAGGGGGCTTTGATTGCGTTGCAGGCTCCTTCTGCCGTGACTTTTCAAATGCTCAATGAATTTACATAATTCAAACAAGCCTGTATGACATTGAGCTTCAGATCAAAAATTGATCTGAAACCTCGAGATTTCGCATCTATTTTTGATTTGAAAATCAATACACTGAATATTTTCTGATGTGTCCTTCTACACTAATGACCTTGCTGTACTCAAGAACTGACTTGACAGGTTATCAATCAATCACGTCATACTGACCCGGCTTTTTTTTCTTTTTTTTTTTTTGTATAGCTCTGATAACCTGTGGCTGAGGCCATCTGGAATGGCCATTCTGTGGTAATTAGGCATGTGGCTCCTCCACAGAATCAGAACCGATGGCTCTTTTTCACTACCATTCACTGCGGCATTCACTTTATTTGCCAAATGATTTTATTTTGTAGTATAAGAGTTAACCAGCCTGACAAAGCAGGATTGGAGCTTTGAGAAAAAATTGCTCTGGTGTGGTGTAACAAAGCTGATGGCTACCATTTCAGTCACTATGGTCTGCACCTTCTGCTTTTACAAACATGTGATGAGGAAAAAGGGATCAGACCATTCTCTTGATCTGTATTTACATAAAAAAGGTAAAAGAACAATAAAACGGGGCTGGTTTCCGACCAATTTTATCTCAAGAGACTGAAGACCTTCGAAGCAAGCGTATTTTCAATGAAACCATTACCTGTGTTCAAAGAAAACTATGTAGCATACTATAAATTCGATGTACCCAGTAGGGAGACTATAATCACCGAGACGGGTGTCTGTTTCAGTCGAGAGCTGATGTTGGAGAAGGCGGTCCCTTGTCTAACAAGGCTAATTGGGCTTTAGAGGCTCCTAATGCATGACAAATAGAGAAGGAGAGGGCCTGAGCACTGCTGGTGTGAGCAGCTCAAGCATTAATAAAGCTGCACCTTTCAGTCAAAGACATCTGTTGCCAGCAGGCAACACTGCCTTCATCATGACTGCCCCGGCCCACCCATGTTTGCCTGGCATCACCATTAAAAGAGATACACACATACAAAAATGCACATATATATATATATATATATATATATATATGTGTGTGTGTGTGTGTGTGTGTGTGTGTTTCCCGGCTAATTCAAGCTGTCGACATCAGCCCAGTTTGGAGGTGAAAAATGGGTGCACCACGCGACGCACCAGATGGCAGAGCTGGATCATTAATCTCAGCCGGCAGACATGCGATGGATGGATTCTCCAGAGTGAACCGTTTCAAAACTGAGAACGACACCCAGGGATGGAATTTGCTCAGCAATCCGTAATTTTGTCAAACAAAATAGATTACAGGCATGTATGTATGTATTTTGTCCATGTTTAAAATGTCAATTTTGTCATACATCTGGTACGTTAAGTGAGCGGTCCTATGTGGCCCTAAAGTGGCACTTGTGAAAAAAAGTGGCCCCTTGCAGCATTTAAGTTGCCCATCACCGACCTAAAGGATTACCGTACATTTTAGCCATAATGATTCCAGAAGATGCAACAGCCTGAACAAGGGCTGCTAAGAGAATACTGAATGCACAGCAGATGAAACACTGGCAGGCTCACATTCGAAGCAAGACTCGATGGTCCAATTGTGTAAAGCATTTGAACATTTTATTTACAACCGATTGTAAGGGTCAGCAGAAACTGATCAGTGTAATAACTTTTTTTTTTTTTAATGACAACAGTGTAACCTACAACACGACATCTGGAAAAATAGTTGCCATTTCTCATCATATGTTCCGATTAATCCTGAGGTTGAAATTGGACTTTGCCAGGAAAGGGAACCCTCGCTTGCACATTGTTTTCAATTTAAAAATTAAAAGTGAAACGCAGAGAAGGGTTTTTTTCACTGAAGGGAGGGGCAAAGGCATCTCCATATGACATGCGACTACCAGTGTGCTATGAATAAATCATCGCGAGCCAGGCAGGGGGAGAGTAAACAGTTGTGTATCTTCACCTGAGATTCCGAGAGAGGGCTGTCAGACACTGCAGTTAACAAAGGCTGCCTCCTCATCGCCATGCAGATGGTGTTTTCAGCAGATCCAAGTCAAAACATGACATGATCAGGGTAGCTACTACATGAACCCAAGACTTGCTGAAGATGCCCTCCGGTTTGCGTGTAAATGCAACATTTTGGGGACAAAGCCGCACAGGATTGATTACTCTGATGTTAAGATGCATATACTGTATAAGGGAATACGGTCGTCATGTTAAATCAGATGGGGGGGGGGGGGGCTCGATTCCTTGAAAATCCCTGACTTTTTAAATTTGTTGACATTTTTCTCTTATATTTCTGGATAAAACTTGTCCCAGTACACATCCATTAATGGATGACATAATGGTGCGGGAAAAGTCTGCAGAGGACAATTATGGCCCAACTGAAAAAACAGACAAAATGAGAACAAACTCATCATTAATATCGTAATGACAAAAATTGGGATTTGTTTTGTTGTTCATTCCTGTACCATTATAAGTGTTCTCTCGTTTTTTTCTGTCCAGTGTGAGCCCAATAGTCCTTTTCTAGGGAATTCACGTTACGTTGTTGAATCCGTTTTTAACAGATCATGGTCACAATGCGACACGTCCAGTTTTTGCTCTCTGTGAGAGAAGTCCAAGTAAGAAAAATAAAAACTACTGGGAAACCAAAACAATAGGTTTTAGAATATACTTTTTTTATTTATAATTTATAACTGGCAGATACAAAAACTCTTAAACTGTATCCAAAATGTGCAATAAATCACTGCTGATTAACAAAAGAAATTACAAAAGTCTGTCTACTTTGGAAAGTGAACAAACGATTTGTAAACTAGTTTGAACGAGTAACCCCGGAGTGTTTCCCGATCGCGATTGATGCTCTTTTGAAGTGAACTCTAGTTTTGACCAAATTGCAAATCTGCATTGCTCTCCCAAGATGACAACACACCATTGTGTGTACATACATCAATGTTGGCCACACTCTAGCACCCCCCCCACCCCTCATTATTAAATACAAGAAAGGCAATCGTTTTCCGTAAGCAGCACAAATGTGTGGAAACACGTGACAAGGTCTTGTACCAATATATTTGAGAGATGTCAACAAAACATGGACAGAGGACGGGCATCTACAAAAATAATAAGAATAATAATGCTGTAAACGATCACCTTCATTCATCAGGATGCACCAAAAATGTTTAAGTGCGGAACGGCAGCGTGCACAGGCATCAAGCTCTGGAACCACACACTCGAGGTGTCAAAAAGCTAAAGCGACGATGGATCACAGCAGCGACACTTGTGGAAAAGGGTTCCCGCTCGTCAATATCGGGACAACGGATTGCAAATCAAATCTCGATTCCTTGAAAATCCCTGACTTTTTAAATTTGTTGACATTTTTCTCTTATATTTCTGGATAAAACTTGTCCCAGTACACATCCATTAATGGATGACATAATGGTGCGGGAAAAGTCTGCAGAGGACAATTATGGCCCAACTGAAAAAACAGACAAAATGAGAACAAACTCATCATTAATATCGTAATGACAAAAATTGGGATTTGTTTTGTTGTTCATTCCTGTACCATTATAAGTGTTCTCTCGTTTTTTTCTGTCCAGTGTGAGCCCAATAGTCCTTTTCTAGGGAATTCACGTTACGTTGTTGAATCCGTTTTTAACAGATCATGGTCACAATGCGACACGTCCAGTTTTTGCTCTCTGTGAGAGAAGTCCAAGTAAGAAAAATAAAAACTACTGGGAAACCAAAACAATAGGTTTTAGAATATACTTTTTTTATTTATAATTTATAACTGGCAGATACAAAAACTCTTAAACTGTATCCAAAATGTGCAATAAATCACTGCTGATTAACAAAAGAAATTACAAAAGTCTGTCTACTTTGGAAAGTGAACAAACGATTTGTAAACTAGTTTGAACGAGTAACCCCGGAGTGTTTCCCGATCGCGATTGATGCTCTTTTGAAGTGAACTCTAGTTTTGACCAAATTGCAAATCTGCATTGCTCTCCCAAGATGACAACACACCATTGTGTGTACATACATCAATGTTGGCCACACTCTAGCACCCCCCCCACCCCTCATTATTAAATACAAGAAAGGCAATCGTTTTCCGTAAGCAGCACAAATGTGTGGAAACACGTGACAAGGTCTTGTACCAATATATTTGAGAGATGTCAACAAAACATGGACAGAGGACGGGCATCTACAAAAATAATAAGAATAATAATGCTGTAAACGATCACCTTCATTCATCAGGATGCACCAAAAATGTTTAAGTGCGGAACGGCAGCGTGCACAGGCATCAAGCTCTGGAACCACACACTCGAGGTGTCAAAAAGCTAAAGCGACGATGGATCACAGCAGCGACACTTGTGGAAAAGGGTTCCCGCTCGTCAATATCGGGACAACGGATTGCAAATCAAAACAGAAAAAAACAACACTGTATCAAAAACATCCGACTTTCACATTTCAATCAAAAAGTACATCCACATTCATGATCCGCCGATCCGGGCGGGATGCTGGTGCCTTCCCCTTCATGTTCCACACACATCGGATGACACCAAACTAAATACAGCGTACAGTTAACCAAACGCGTACATGAAGAAATGGCGACTAGCGTGCGACGGTGAACTCTTGGCAGGATGTCAATGTCGCCAAAACCAAACAACAGATCAGAAAAGAAAAACAAGATCCAACTTCCCCAGTACACAGGTTAGCAGAAGCAAGTTCCTTCCTATACAACACAAACGGTTGAAAACGCTACTACCTTTAACATGCAACACCATTCCGAGTTCCTCATTTCTCAGACGTGAACGTTTCCAGCTCACTTAAACGGACACCATATTATCTTTGTCTGAGGAACCGTGTCTCCAAATGCTCGGGCGCTAATGTGAGAACTGACCTCACCATAATTCCTTCTCAAGGTATTCGTATCAAGCACTTTTGAAATGAAGTGCTGGATGTGCTTTTCCCTCTTTCCTGCTGTGTTTTGCGTTCTTTTGTTTTTGGGAAACTCACATGGTAACCATGCAACTGTAATGGAATTGTCATGAGCTGAGACCTGGACATCAAGCCAAACGTGGATTTCCCAAATCCTTTCACACAGAGTTCACACCGGTTTGGGAAGTCATTTGAGCTGGGTCAGACTTGAAGACGCAAGCGTCGCTGCGTACAGATTCAGGTCGAGTGACGACAGGTCTGCTTTTAGCTTCTAGATGACTTGTTTGTAATTACAAAGCACATCAAAGCTTTAGTTGGGTTTACGCAACGTTGCAAAGCCCATTGTGACATCTTATCTCGTTGAGGTCAACCGTCGAAGTCTTCACTTCATGCGAATGAGCAGCACGGTTCTTCACTCGAGCTGCTGTGTAGTATTCCTTCTACAAAAAAATACTTGAAAAGGGGACCTGTTATGCTTAACTTTGGACAACCAATCTAGCAAAACGCACTACCGCTCAAAGGTTTGGCTATACTTTCTCTTGCTATTGACTGAGAAACCGTGTTCAAACTCGAAACGGGGTCGTGTGGTTCTAAAGGATCTTGAGCTACCGTTTATGTTCAAAGAGGTCCTAAATGGCTCTTGCCTAGTTCAGAACACCAAACGAGACCTCGGGGATGAGCTGCAGTCACGGAAAGAAAGAATAGAAACAATACTTTAGCGTACATTGTATCTTAAATCACCATTAAGCATAATAGGTCCCACTTATTTGTAGCGCACAAGAGTAAAACAATGCCGTTTCCAAAAACAGCACACGGAAAGAAAAAAAGAATTAAAAATCCAGCATCATCAGTACCGTCAGACTTGCATAATATAGAATGGCTCTACATAGCCAGAGGTGAATTTAAAGCTCAATGCGCATGACCAAATTGCTTAAAATGTCTCCATTTTAGACAGCCGTAAACCGTGGCGACCTGCATGCCACACATGTCGCCGCACATTATGTTCTACACAAAACACCTGAAAAGATGATTTCATCGTCATGTGGCGTTTGTTTTTGCAATTGACGAGTAATCGTCAGATCTTAGTCTACTGTTGTGCTTTCTAAAGTTCGACCGCAAACATTCACCGGTTGAACAGCTGTCACCTGTCACACCGTGGCTAGGTTTCGAAGATGCGTTCATGATAGGAAAGCATCCAAGGAGTCTCCTACAACAATCAATGCATGCAAACATGAGAATTCATTTTCATGTATTATGCTGAACTAGAACATGCTCAAAACTGATCAGTTTGACAGGTTTTGCAGGTGCTTTTTCAGCCCAAAAAGGTCAATGAGAAATTCGTTTATTTCACCAAATTCATTTTAAAAATGCATACCAATGCACTAGTTGCCGTTCATTTTGAATTTCTTATAGGCCTTGTTTCAGCATTTCATTGTGCAACTGGAATAAGTCGCGGGGGCTGATTGTGTGTGTGGTTGACCTGTAAGTAGAAATCATCATCTCAAAAGGGTTCAGGTGGATGTAAACCTTGTGTACAGTGTTCCCTCACTACTTCGCAGTTTGGTTTTTCCGGCTTCAATCCGTCACGGTTTTTCATTTCTCATTATATCTTCATCTCTTGCAGTTTGAAATCGCTATTTTGCAGGCTTTCTTGCAATTTTTCTACCGTCTAAATCGGACCAGTCAAGAAATGTATTTATTTATTTTTTTGCGGAGGGGAAATTCGATTTACAAAAACCGAGACCATGAGCATGCGGGGCGTGTTCGGAAATCTGATGGTCGTGAACTACTCTGAGGGTGTGTGTGTTCAGAGAGGCAGCACACGGTTCCCTCACAATAATTTTTCGAAGCCAGCCTGTGTTCTGAACCAATCAGCAGGTCGTGCTTGAATTGTTTCCATCTGGACTGCCCTGACGCACCAGCGCACCAGACACGGGATGCTAGTTAGGGTAAGCTAGTTTAAGATTAAAAAGAAAAACTTTGAACGTCGTTATTCGCCAACATTTTGTCGTCCTCGTCCGCTGCCAGGGCGCAGAGCGTGCTCAGCTCACGTTAATTTAGGAATGCGGCCTATAATCCGCATTTTAGTATTCATGCTTCAGTTTGCATTTTAAAAGTTACATTTATGAAGTGTACCAAGCGTTTTGAAGGGTGGGAGCTATGTTTGTGTGGGTGTGTGTTGTAATGGTTTAATCGAGGCTAAATTCCAGCCCAACAAAATGAACCCAAATTTAGCAGATATCAACCATCGCGAACGTAAGCCCCGCAACAAAGGAGGGACCACTGTACACCTCACTGAACATAAAAAGTGCAAAATAGACGCCACTGTCCTGTGTATGTCAGTAGTGCTTCTCCTGTAGGTAATCTTTCATCTTGTTAGGTAAGGGCAGTTTCTGGATAAGGTCTATCCTTGTGTATTGTCGAATGACAAAGCGACAAAGGTACTGCAGGGAGCGCACTTGCATAAACCGAGACACGGGGTTGGTGAGTCTGACGGGGTAGGTTGCGGACCCCGGTAAGCGGGATCTGGAATAACAAAAAGCACCATTCTCCGAGTCTTTTATCGAATGTTCAATGAGGTCCACAATGGACGTGTGCCCTTCCACGTCAGGCTGCTCATAAAAGCTGAAGCGTCCGTTGGAGTGTTCGATCCGGGTGTGGAGAGTTTTGCCCTGTGACCTGAAACTCAGGCTGAGCAGGTACCTGTCATCCGAGCTGTCCCGGACCAAAAACGAGCCATCGGCCAAGTTGATGAGCTTTTCCTCCGCCTCCCAGCGTGTGATGGGCCCCCAGTACCAGCCCTGCCTCGCCAGCTTCTTCAGCTCCTCGGTCAGGCTGGTCACCACCATGGGCCCGCTGCTCTGGACAGAGTCATACACTCGGCTGACGCCAGGAGCCGAATTGGGATCAAAGTTGAGGTGGTGTCGAACCCTATCGGCAACCTGGCTGTCCGAGGAGCCGAAGCCAGAGAACGTCCTGGGAAAACGACCGCTACTGCTCATGGGAGGCAGGAGGGGAGAGAGGGGAGGCGGGCCCTCTCCTCTCGAGCTTTGAAGCATGACGCCAGCAGAACCGATAAGAAGACTATTAACCGAGGTGTCCATGAAAAGATCCGGAGGCAACGCGCCGACCATTTCGTGCTCCTCCGGTCCCCGATCCATCAGGGGACACCCGTTGTCTGCCTCCGCCGCCACCTCCATAGGAGACGCGCTGTCCAGACAGAAGGAGTGGGACCCTTCTGGGTACATTCCCTCATCCAAAGGCATTGTGTACTGAATGTAGTCTTGGGGCGTCAACCCCAGCACCACAGGCACGTCATTGTCGTCAATGTTTAGATGCAGCTCGCCGTTTTGTGGCTGCTGGAGGTTTTTGAAGGATTCGGGTTGGTCCTGAAAGAGCCCGTCCATCTGAAAATCGCTGAATTCCTTCCGGATGCCATTCAAGTTGGGGCTGGGGCTAGGCGAGTGGACCATGGCTTTAACTTTGACCTCCATCTTAATACAAGCTTCGTCAGAGTTGACTGGCCGCAGAGGCCATGGCGAGGGGCTATAGTGGTGACTCCGTAGCGACGCGGACCTTAGAGGTCTCTGGGCTTTGACCTCGTTCAAGCTGATGGGCACAGAAGAGGAGGAGAAGGTGTCGTCGTCGTCCGTCGAGCCAATGGCGGAGGACCCGGCTTTGCTCTTTGCCTTCTGCTTGGCGGACAGCCTTCTCTTAAGTGATCCCATCAGGCCTTCGCCCTTTGAACGGTTCTTATTCTGCCCACCTTTGTCTTCCTCGCCACCCAGATCGCACACGGAAAGGTCTTTGGTGTAGCAGCCACCAAAAAGTGACTCGTCCTTTGAGAACTCTGCTGCCACGGGTGCCTGCTGGAGCATGGCAAAGTCGCCGTCCTCTTTGCCCTTTATGCTCAGCGACTTCCGGATGGTCTTCAGGCTGATCTTCTTCATTCTGACTGGCCCTCCGCCAAGGAGGGGGGCATGAGATGTCTCTCCTTGTGTCCTGATGAATGTACTAGCCACAGTATCCTCCCATCGCGTCGCACATAAGCCATGCATACAGCAGAGCCAGGAAACCCTTCAAAAAGTGAAACACACACACACACACACACACACACACGCACACACACACACACGCACACACACACACACACACACACACACACACACACACACACACACACAAGCAAAACGATCAGAATCAATCCATCTTTATTTACCTCATGCATATCTACATGCAGACAGATTACGTTTTAACAAGTGACGGCATTGGAATAACATCATTATAAACGGAACTATCTGCAAAAAGGTGAGCGCTATATTGTTAATATGTATGCAAGCGCATAAAGACAGCTTTAGATTGGATCATGTTTATTTTACAGATAGTTTGTTGACTCAAGTCCAAGTTCTGGACGTTTTTTGCCACCTGTATGGAATGCAACGGTCTTTTAGAAACAGGTTCAGAACAGGGTGTGGATATTAATAACTGCTGATTGCAAAACATTCAATTTATAGTCTACCAAAATGGCATCGAGTGCTGACATTTCTAAACACTCCGACTTAATATTTTGACTTGTATAAAGTAAAAGGTTCAAGTAATTAGCAATTCAGCATCATTGAAATGTCACTGCTAACCCGACTCAATTGACTCACTGTATCACTCTCTCACACACACACACACACACACACACAGGCATTTCCAAACACTCCAATTACAATATTTGCTCTCTTTTTAATTATTGAGCTTTTTAGATTAATACGGTTCAAATACGCATTAATTTGCCACAGAGTGGTTTAAAAGACATGGTAAACCATTTTGAGTGCATTTATGATGGTGATAGATTACAATTAAGCGCGCACGCGCGGACACACGAACGCTGCAAGATAAAAGCAGACCAAAAAAGGTGTTAATATGACAGATGCAGACCGATTACTCACCATGATGAGCAGAGAAAATGTGACTCGACTTGACTGAATGGGTGAAGTTCCACTTCCAGCACCTTTCATGAGATGCTATGAAAAAAAAAGAGATCTTATGATCACACCTCAAACACTTCCCGTTTTACCTAACGTGTTATTACCAGCTCGTTACTAACTAGTTGCTTATCTAACCTGCCGCTCCTTAGCTGATCTCATTATGGAAACAGATTCAAGGTTTTGTTTTGACCTAGCCTAGCACGGCCTACGCATTTAGAGGCTTGCCTTTCGCTTAGTCATGAAAGTAAGCATTTTACAACAACGTCCCCAATGTAAGATCACACTAGCAAACATTGGAAAAAACTTAAATGAGCATTCGACGCAAGTAATGTTTTTTTGTTTTTGTTTTTTTACATGGCGTGTCAAAAGAACACATGAAAACTACCAGATATGCTACTGCGACGAGCTGCATAGCACATTTTGTCCTCATAGTGTAAATAAATGCTTACCGATGGCATTTTAAAACATCCCCGTGTCTAATAAACCTTTACCCGGTGACTTGCACTCACGATAAAAACAAACTGATCCCAATCTGAAATAAAAGGTCGTTTGTTATAGCTGCCGAAAGCTACCTTGGCTAACGTTAGCGTACCACCAACCTAAGCCAATCAGCGAGTTTGTCGAAATTAAACAATATCACATTACCTTGAGTTATTCTGCGTCCCGGTCCACAAGAATAACGGCAGCGTTTACATGTCCACGGTTGGTACGTCTGGGGAAGGGAGCAAAAAGACGCGGTGATATATTCTCGCATACAATGACACAATAAGGTGACACCTTTCTGACTGACTAGGTTAGCACACTTGAGGAGCTACCGGCCTCTTCCTTTGTTGCCTGTTGAGTTGAGGCGGACAGCAAGCACATTAGGATGGAGCGAGCACACACAAAAGCGCCACATTCAATGATGCACACTTTGACAAATACTAATATTGTACTTCTAAAAAAATATAGACGCCTTTCAAAAATAGTCCCATTCAGTAACCAATGGTGAGCATGAAGAGACATATTTTCCCACGTGTAGAATTGTTGTTTTCAATGTTAATTGGGCATATATTGTATTCCATTTGAGTTTGAATATATTGGAAAATAAATATACCCTGATTCTACTTGTGCAAAAATTATAGACTGATATATGTAATGAAAAATTTGAAAAAAAAAACATTCACTGCATATGGCAAAAGGTGAAATGATAAAGGATTTTATCTACTTAGTCTGCATATATTATATTGTGCACATTTTGACAAATTATGATTACCCTTTCTGTGGAATAGTAGAAAGTGTGTGTTGTAACTACTTTATTCATACCTATAAGTATGATTATTTACTCAAGTGAGTATAAGCACCATAGAAGATGGATGGATGGATTTATCATTTATTTTTCTGACATCACCCAGTGTCAAATGTGGGTTTTTTCCCCAGAGCTTGGATAATCAATACAATTTAAAATTTTAAACAATGTATCTAATCGTGGGATACATGAATGTATGTATGTATGTATGTATGAATAACCTACAATTGTAATACTTATCAAATATAAGTCAAAAATGTTTAGAGAGCAAGGAGACTAGATCTGGACTGGATATATTTATTGCTTTTTCCTTCTACTTTGAACATGTAAACTACGTCGAAGGATGACATCCATTATGTTCTTTTTTGATTTTCTCTTTGATTTTTTTTTCTTATAAATGTCCTCTATTACTTATATTAATAGCCACTATTAATCTGTAATTATCACTGTTTAGAAAATGTTTTGGCTTTTTTTTTGGTGGTAAATGAATGTATTCTGTTTTTTTGTCAATAGTAAAGTATGTGTTGTATTAGGACGTTATGAAAAAACAGCTGAAAAAGTTTGGAGAAACTGATGTAGTGAAGACATGGCACTGAAACTCATTTCTTGTTAAAACTAACTGGCCATTCGTTGAGATGTGATCACATTGTGACAGGACACTGTATCCAAGGAAGCTGTATGAGGAAAAATAATTGCTGTAAAATATTCAATGTCCAAATAGCCTATTCACTAATGAGTAAACTTTCTTATTTGTGGTTTATGAGTCTGATTCAGTGTGGTGACTTGTGCTTACAGGTCTTTTTAATTTGTATTCTGAAAAGATCACGTTGACTCTCCCAACTATAAGTTGATCGAGCAAACTAAACGTTGGTTGCCTAATTAGTGTCAGTACTGTTTATAAAGGGGATGATGTTTACCACGGCCAGACTAATTTGGTTTCTGCTCAACATCAGATTGTTGTTTTTTTTTCCACACTGTCAAGTGTATGGCAGTCCTTCCCCACCCTGCTTGAGGCTGCTTTGGGCAGACAGGCTCTCTGCTAGCACTCTAATTACTGGGCCTTATTAGGCTTGATCAGGCTACCTTTTCTTGATATGCTGGCACACGAGGGAAAGTGGTAGTGGAGGAAGGCACGAAGAAGGAGCAAGGAGGGATGGCAGCTCTGAAATGATGCACCAATGTCACCACAACATGAGTTTGTTTTTACAAGTCAAATTAGACCTGACAAACAAAGTTTACTCCACTTGATATTGGAAGCCAGACAGTAAAACAGAATGCAGGCACAACGTCACACAATACTGTTCACACTGTATCTCTAAAAAAAAAATTCAATCCAGTGTAGCCTCTCAAGTCGAACACAATATGTTTCATCATGTTGATTGACATCAAAGTTGCTCCTTTTCAACACAGATTTTTCCACTAGAAACAGGTTAAAGTGAATTTAATCATTAAAGACTCAAACAGTTGCTCTCATTAAACCTTTATTAACTGTACAGTATAGTCAATGATTAATACACTGTGGCATTTTATACTGTAGGTATTGCCGCGATTTACTTGCCTTAATATCTGCTCTGAATCAATAATGTATCGAATTAATTAAACTGAAAATAATTTACTTAGCAACCGAACACTTTCTGATGTCACAGCAATCACCAAGAAAGTTTCTTCCTCAGTGGTTTCTCTTACCCTTGGCAATGTAGTGGAGAACAGGAACAGAAGGCATGTCAGGACTGCGGGTCCACAACAGGAGCACTGGGACTGCGCAAAGAAGAACTGCAATGACAACCTGTGGTGTTTAGGATGGTTGTTTTATTTACAAGTCAACAATTTGTTGTTCATAATTGCCCTTTAATGTGAATATCCATGCATGTTTAAAAAAAACCAAATAATCTTGCACTATAAAAGAAAGCATCCTGCACTTTTAATTCCCCCCCACTAAAAAACATTCAAGGTGACCATCAAACATGTGATACATGCATCTGAATGTGTTAATTATCACCTTGTCATATCATGAACCACACATCTCATCTGAAGTGTAATTTCATGTGAAAACACTCGTTAGCCTAGTTGATGATAAAGACTAATTTGGTTATAAGTGTCAGTAAGAGTGAAAAGTAACGCCACCCTTCCATTATTAGTACTGTAATACGGCAATCATCTAATTGAATTATTTCTAGCAATATTAGAATGACGAATATGATAATTAATGACTATAAAAAATCTACACAATGTTACTAAAAGGTATCCATCCATCCTTCCATCCATTTTCGAAACTGCTTATCCTCACAAGGGTCGCGGGCGTGCTGTTGGCTATCCCAGGCCGTCTTAGGGCAGCAGGCGAGGACACCCTGAACTGGGTGCCAGCCAATCGCAGAATACAAGGTATTGAATTGGAATTATGATGATTCCGATAGATTAAGCGCTCTAGAAAGGCTGACTCTTTTAATCAGATCTCATCTGATACCCTAGTTGTACCTAAAAACATGTTTTTCGCAAACGAGATTTGGAAGGACGAAAAGTTATTTTTCTCCTACACATTTGACGTCCATGAATGCATCTCCATCAAATCCCGGATGTGGAGTGACGTTGGCGCGGATGTTAAAAACAAACTCCGATGTTAAAAACAAACTCCGATAGCTTTCTTTTATGTGACCCAACCAAACATCGACTCACTAAAGTGCACATTTGGCCCTCGTCTGGGCTTGGATACCACTTGTTTTAAACAGCTGGAAAAACAGTGACCACGGAATATGGAATTATCTGGTATTATCAAGAAAATAGGTAAGAGCTAGCTGGAGAAAGGTTGCTTGGTGAACTGTTTTTATGTAAAACCAGTGATCGTTACCTCCTGTCCTCTATCGAACTATAAAAAATACTTTTCACTTAATTTGTACAGCGGCTCATTTGTTCGATATTACGTCCTATTTGTCCGAGTCTTGAAACATACTTTGACGCTTCCGTTGAGCTAATCCGGTAAAGTTATCAAAGTCAGTAATACTCATCAACGCAGAACTTGTATCTGCTTCTGAGATCAAAATTCAAACACAAGAGGCTAGATCTTGATGGGTTTTTTTTTTCAAATTGAATATGTTGCTTCTGTGACCAACAGGCCACTCTTTGGTCGAGATCCGAGTTCGAGCATTGAAGAGCATCATGTGTAAACTGGAGTATTCCCTGATTTCCATCCCTGACATTGTTCAAGAAAAGATGCTGTTTGTGTATCTCCTGGAATGGTTCAATTTCCCAGAGGTGCCCATGCAAGAAGAAGTTTTGGATTTACTCTTGACTTTATCCAAGGTAGACAGAGAAGGTCATTTCTTCGGCTTTCATTTTGTCATTGTTTCATGTTTCTTTCATTGTTTTGCCTTGTTTTTAAGCATCCAAGTGCAGCTCAGATGCTGAGAGATGTTGAGGCGGAGGATTTTCTCTCCCAACTGTCTGCTAATGTGGAACCGAGACTTCGAGCTGTCATTGATGCAACCCTGGACCAGCTGTTTCAGCTACCTGAGCTAATCCCCGGTTGCACCCCTGTCTTCACGCAGGGCCTCCCCAATAAACCTCCAACAGGTGCTGCAGGCTTTGACAAACTCTTTATGAAATCTATTTAATAATGATCAAGATTAATTGAGGAATATTCTATGTGGTGTCACCTTTGAAGTAACTACAGATTTACCATCCGATGAGCATCTTCCTAAAGGGGGATATTTCCAGAAGAGCATGCTCAAACATGTGGATCAACCTCCTCTGAAGATACCAGGCACTGATTTTGACTTTTTGTTGCACAATGCATCATACAATAAAACCTCCAAAGTTGAACACAATCAGTCAGTCATACATATGTTAATATTGATACTATTAAACAATTGTTCTAACTTCAAAACAAATATTCTGATAGAAAATGATAAGTGATTTTATTACACTCCTAAGTTTCATTCACACCATTGTAAAGACAAGTTAACCATTGGGTTTTAAAAGTAAATCATACTAAAATAAAGTCAAACAATGCTCAGCCTTTGAAGACAGACAGCAGAGGGGATTTTGCTGTGTGATACTCTGACCTTCTGTGGTGAGCATCACATTTAGCTGTCACGAACAAGTCGAAGAAGAAAATAATTGCAAAATGAATCCTTTCGATGCTCACAGAGCTGGAGACAAGATTTTTGAGTGGTTTGAGGCATCATTTCGAGATGTTTGAACTCCAAATTCTCTATTTGTATATTTATCAAATTCTCCCATTATCTTGTATGATGGTATTTCATCCAAGTGTTTTTTACAGTGCACGAGGCTGTGAAGTGCTTGAAGTTCTCTGTGTTTCCGTGGCTGACTCTGACAAACACTGACAGACACATTCTATCTTCAAATGAAAGGTGAGAGGAGATCTGTGTATTTCTACATGACGATAATGCAGGCCTAATACAATGAATTTCTGCGTAGAATCATTGCAGTAAGAATGATTGATGAATTTACTGCAATTGCTAATGTATTTTATTTACTACATGGTTCGACTGTGTGGATGATATGTTTTGACTTTTTTCAAATTCACTTCCTCTGAAAAAGTTCTTTAAGAAGCAGCA